CAGCAGGATGCAGGGCTGTGCTTTAGAGAAGCCAAACGTTGGGTCCTCAATGCCAGAGCAGTTCTGCAGCAGTGAGCGCTTGAACTGGCAGGCCTTCTTCTCCTCACTTTCATTGCCCCCTTGGATGAAGTACTGTCCTGAGACACACTCGATATTCTTCTCCTCTTGAACTTTGTCATCATAAGCTGTTGGGGACCAAGACATTTGTTAACATTTCTCAAACCTGCACAGCCCCACACTCTCAGAGTACATCCATATGTCAGGAGAAAGTCCCACCTAGGAAGGCAAGGCTCTCTCCCACAGAAGTTCCTGTGAAAGGCAAGGCTCTCTCCCATAGAAGCTCCTGTGACCATCTTAAGAGACTCCCTTTCTCCATGGGGGTCCTGAGATGCTGAGAGATAACCTGTGCTGCAGGAGGAGACCCCTGCACTGTGTGCATGGATGCAGACAACTCACCAACGCGCCTCCTGGTGTGCCTCAGAGCTCACCTGCTAGGAATTGGTGCATGTTGTCCACATAGGGCTGCCACGTGCTGGGCTGAGAGACATTGAAGGCAATGGTGAACCCATTCAAGTATGGTCTGATCATTACTCCTGGAGAAGGAAATGGACCCGGTTGGAGCAGACATGGACGGACTGGCCACAGATGTGGGGCACATGTTGCATGCAACTGGGCTTGGGGCTGGGCACACGCATGAGAGCAGTAGCACTAACTCACAAATAAACTCTGACCTCAACCCACTGATCCCTCACCTCCATTTCACACCCAGAGAACACCATGCACATCAAAATATCCTGGGAAACATGGGAGACCTGGAGGGTCTCCTGGAGACTAATTAACCTAATAATTAGCATAATTAGAATAAAAAATAGTATAATTTGAATTGATACTTCACATGGGGCTATTTAAGATGCCTGATCCTATGCAGAGAACCTGCAGCAGAGTCAGTGCCCTGAGTTAAGTGACAACACCTGATGTTATGGAGGGCTGGTTGGCCATGAGGGCGTACAGCCCCAGCAGGGCTTTGCCCTAGGTCCCCACACCCCATTTCAGTAGCACTTTGATGGGTGGGTGCTGGCAGAGGTGCTGGAGGCTGGGCTGGGATACGTACCTGGTGGAGACACACGGTCCCGGTACCTGGGCGTGTAGGGGCTCAGCGTGAGCAGCATCACGTACAGGCAAAAGGCAAACATCCCCGCCAGGCACGTGTAGAAAATGAAATAAAACAGAAAGATCAAACCTGCAAAAGAGAGGACACGTTGCTGTTAACACAACCGGAGCATGTCCCAGGAGCTGTGTCCCACAGGGATGCACAGCCATGCTCAGCACGGTTAGTCCTCCCCAGCTCCAAGTCCACCTTGGAGGTTGGAGCCCACACCCCCTCTGCACACAGACCCTGGCTTTCCTGGATGCGGGGCTCTCTGACATGTTTATGTGCAGGACTCTGAGCCAAACACGCTCTCTGCCCAGCCCTGGATCTGTGGCAGCTGCTGTTTGGCTCCATAAGCCTTTTGGTGCACAGCCCTTCCCAGAGCTGGGTCAAGACCAGGTCCACATGTCCCCTTACCTCAGCTCTCTGCAGCAGACAGACCAAACTTTGCCTCTTGCCCTTCCCACACCCTCTTGGCATGGTAACACAGGGGTGCCCAGTGGCTTCAGTATGTCCAGATTTCCCAATGGGGAATGAGGGGTGATGCTCCTGCCCCAACTCCTGTCATCTGCATGTTAGGGACCCCAGCGGTGGGAGTGGCGCGAGTGGCATCGCTCAGGGCTGCGGCACTGCTGGCTGTTTCATAGCCCTGACATTCAAGGAATGGATTTGTTTTTCCCCTGGACCAGGCTGATGGCTGAGGATGTCTCAAGAGGCCACAGCCTATGAATAAAACCCAGCAGCTCAGAAAGCAAAGTGAAGCCCTAACCCAAACATTTCCCAGGAGAAACGTGCCGGCAGCTCAGAGGGAGCCCTGGGAACGCAGATGTGAGCTCCTGCCGCGCCTCTGCTGCGGCCACCGTGCTGGGAACCGAGTGGGGCCGTGTCCTGCTGCTGGGATGGTGGGACCATCCCCACTGCTGGTGGCACAGAAGGAAGAACCATAGAATCACAGAATGGTTGGGGTTGGAAGGGACCTTTAAAGGTCATCTAGCCCAAGCCCCTGGCCATGAGCAGGTTCAACTAGATCAGGTTACTCAGAGCCCTGTCCAGCTTGACCTTGAATGTTTCCAGGGATAGGGCTTCTACAACCCCCCCAGTGCCAGTGTTTCATTCTCTTTCAGTCTAAAACAATTACCCCTCATCCTATCACTACAGGTCCTGCTAAAAAGTTTGTCTCCATCTTTCTTATAAGCCCTCTTTATCTACTGAAAGGCCACTATAAGGTCTCTCTTCTCCAGGCTGAACAGCCCCAACCCTCTCAGCCTGTCCTCATAAGAGAGGTGCCCTTTCCCTCTGATCATTCTGGGCTGCAAGCACACATTGCCAGCTGATGTCCAGGTTTTCATCTACCAGTCCCCTAGGTCCTTCCAGCCCTGCCACAAAGATGCTGGGATAGTGCACCCAGGGCACCTCCAGGCTCAGTGATAATTTTTGAAGGCCACATGGATAGGGATAAAATAGATGGGGTGCTCAACACCCTCACTGGCACATCACAGCCCCCAGCCCCAGTAGCAGGTGCCAGCTCTGTTGTGGTCATCATGTCAAATCCCAGGAAGCTGTGGGGTGACGGGGTTGACCAGCCCCTCCTGCCCCACAGCTGAGGCACATGCAGGCAAGGAGGGCTGCTCAGCCCTGCGGTGTGCACCCTCCCCAAAATATGACCCACCCTCTGACTCGGGTGCTCTTCCTCCACTGACACCAATGACCCCAAGGCCACTTCTCTGTGGGCTCCTGACTTTTACAGACAGGAGCTGGGCCTCTAGTGGCAGCAGGGGTGTGTGGCTGTGGCAGCCTGACTTGCAGCCCTTGAGCTTGCTCTGGCTCTTAATTTCTTCCCAGTACACAGTTTGGGCAGCCTGAAATCTTTGCTTTCACATTCTCAGTAAACATTAACATACAGACCAAGGGTAATTTCCCCAACATTTTCTGCTTGTCCTTCTCACTAGTTCTTTATTGCACTGGTTAGAAACATCTACCCTGAAAATGTGGGTCAGAAGTGGTCAGTCCAAGCTATTAAGGACATTCACAGGCAAGTGCATCCACTGTGAAGCAGAAAAGGCAACAATCCCTCAAAGCGGGGCTTGAGCAAGGACCTACCCCAGCTCTTGGCCGTTCTCCCCAGGCATGTTCTCTCCTCCGGGTTCCAGAGGAAGATCTTCATCTCCCCAGCCAGGTCTGCCCAGGTTTTGCTCCCCATCTCTGCCCTGCGCTCGTCCTGTGTTCTGTCAGGCTCCTGGACCTTCTCCTCATGCTTATTTTCCTGGAAGAGTTACAGAACACAACCCCCACATGCAAGCTGAACATCTCATTGGCCAAAAATAAATGCAAAAGCACTTAATAGCTGGAAATGTTTCAAATTTCCACTTTCCCATCATCACTCTTGAGTTAAAGAGAGGCAGTTTTGGCTGTTGTGACTTTAGATCGCTTAGATCCCAGCATTCATTTTTCCATGACATGCACATTACTGCTGTCACACTGGGTACTGTCTCCTTCACTGGCAGTTACAGAAACTCATCTTTTTCCACCTGCAGGAACGTGACCAAAGAAAAGCTGTGATCTGGGAGGTCCAGGGTTGTTCCCACGCTTCTGCAACGTCTCTGAGCTCAAGTGCACGTTTTCTGTGCTATCACAGAAGACAGCAGGCAGCATTATTTAAGAGGTCATCCAGTTTGTTTTTCTTGGCGTGTGAGCAAGTGCTTAGTCTTTGGAGAAATCCCTGTTTTGTTATTTTTTAGTTACACTAAGTTCCAAGGAGAAGCATCTCCCCAAGCATAACAAGTGTGCATTTTGCCTCAGTGGTGAAAACTCATTTCTCCAGAGCTTGGAAACACAAATCTCTCTGTACATGCACCTGGCCAAGAGTTTCTTGAGAAGAGACACAGCAGCTGTCCTTATCCCCGCTTGAACCTGGGCAGGCTCCACATCTCCAAACACATGCAGCAAGTGGGAGAGGGTGCAGACCTTGCTTTGAGCTTGGGGCAGGGCTGGGTGTCACCAGGCAGAAGGGGTGATGCCAAGATCTGGGTGGGTTCATTGCCTCCCCCACTTTAATGCAAATGCTGCCACTGGGCTCAGCTGCTCCTGGCTGGGTCAGGGCCATGGGCCATGCTCGCCTGCCTGGGCCACATCTCCCCAAGGCCACCATTCCCACTGCAATCATGGCTCAGATGCAGCTGTGTGACCTCCCCATGTCTATGCTGAGGGCTGTGGAAACCCGCTGGCCATGGACACCTGTTGGAGCCAGGACCAACAAGTGAGATATTTACACCCCATGGGTGGCCCCTGGGGAGCCAGGAAGCAGCCAGCAGCTTGTCAGAAAGTCTGGCTTGCAAGTATCTTCAGACCAAGGGGGATTAAACTCTGCTCAGACACACAAATACTGCAGACAGTGAGAACGGGGGGAGAATACTGACTCCCAAGCCTGAATTTGTGCCTTGCAGAGCCGGGGCCAGACCCAGAGGGGCTGTAAACTGTCCCCAGCCCACTGATTTTCCCAACCTGACCTGGTAAAAGCCCCACTGGGGCTATTCTGGGAGCACGGCTGCATCAGAGCACTGCTGCCAGCAAAGTGCCCGCAGCTGCCTGTAGGGCGAAGGCAATGCTTGGCCCAGGCCCCAGGCTGGAGCTTGTCCCCAGCCCACTCCTGCAAGGCCACAGCCCTGTACCACATGGGGCTGATGAAACCAGAGGATTTTGGAGCATGGAAGCAGCAGCCCCAGCACAAATCACCGATAGGAACATGTGAAAGGAGGTGTGGGGGCTGCCAGTGCCTGGGCAGCCATGAAGGAGCTATTGATGGAAGACAAAGAGAAGTTCTTCCTCCTGCTCTCCTCCTCATTAAATAAAAGAGCTATGAGCAGCTGTTCTGGCAACATTTTCTTAGATGGCCAGGGTAGTAGAAACTGCTTGGAGGGACTGTACACCAATGTACAGTAGTACAATGTGTAGTGCTGCTTTGGGAAATGCCCTTTGGATTTCACACCAGCTGCAGCTCAGAAACAGTGAGGGCAGCACATGGGGTGTATGCAGAGTCCTCGCCTAGAAGCTGCTACCAGTGCTTAGGACTGTGGGAGGGACATAGGGATGGCCCCTCCATAGCCTCTCACACTGGGAAACCCATGCCTCTGCCCTGCAGAAGATTTTCGCAAAGAGGGAAAATTTTCCAGCTCTCCTGGATTCTTCCTGTTGTATCCAGCACTCAGTGAAAGGTCCCATCCTGCTGGCTGGGAGATGCCATGGAGACTCCAGGCAGTGTGGGAAGGAGGTCTGTCCTGGGCAGTCAGACAATATGGGATCACTTCCTTGGTAGAGCTCCCTGAACTAGGGACCTAGGTTAGATCTGGATTGCAACAGATTTCAGGTGTTTTATCTTTGCAGTCCAGGACCAGAGATAACCTTGGAGCAGTCCCTTGCACCTAGATAAGGGACAGGAGGAGCAGCAGGAGCTGGGGTGGGAGTGTGCTGGGGCAAGGAGGGGGCACAGCCACGGAAGGACCTGTGGGGACATTGGGCAGCCCCAGGGCTGCTGCCCACCATGGCAGCTGTGTTGACTCCAGGCAGCAAAGCAAAGCTGGGGTTCATCCCTGGTGGGATCACCCTGTGCTGATGGTTGTGGGTGCCCTGAGGGAGGCTGGGGTCTTTTCCCCATCCTCACTCGGGACCAGATCAGCTCTCAACAGCAGGTTGCTGAAAGCCAGGTGTGCAGAGGGTGGCCCAGACCCAGGTGTCCCTGGCCCTCCTAGCCCCCTTCATTGCCTAGGACCACCAACCAGACCCCCTGCTGCCCCTTCCCCTCTCAGTGCAAAGTTCTGAAGCTAAGGGATGAAGCAGCATTTCCTAAAGCAAAGTAGGTTATATTTATCAGCCATGAAGCTGGTCCTTGGCAGCAGCCCCCACCTCGCCTCTCATAGGGTGGCCAGCAGCCCCCAAAAGACTCACCGCCTTCAGGTGGGGATTCCTGTGCTGGCCCTCTGTGCCCCCGGCACTGGTGTTACCGTCCATCCCTGGGTGGGAAACACAGAGAAGCATGAGCGTTGGTTATGCAGGAACCTGTGGCCGAGCCCAGCAGCACCAGCCACACCATGGGTGCCATGTCGCCCCAACCCCTGGGGACCTGCAGGCACTGTCCCTTCCCAGCACAGCTCCCCAGCCCCACAACACCCCCCAAAAAGCCTGAGCAAGTGTGTCTGTGCTGCGACCTTTGCCTGTCTGCAGGGAACCAAGCTCCTCTCCCTCCCTACCCTGCAAGACTTCAGCATTTGGGAGCAAATGAAAAAATAACCTGCTTTCCTATGAGGAGTGAGCTCAATGCAACAGGATCCCATCCCAAGCCCCCTGGCATCTGGTGCCCTTTGCAGCACCCTCGCAGCATCCTGCCCAGTCCCCGAGTCCCCACCAAGTGCTCTCTACTCCAGGGAGACCACGTAGCTGTTAATAAACATTAGCAAATCACTAACATTTTGAATGGTTGCATGTCCATCAATATGTGCTTGTCAGTCACAGTGGGGCCCTGTTTCATGCTTACAAAATCTCTTTTGCAGTGAAGGGGTAGTGCGAGGGGCAGGTCTATATTTATCCCTTAGAACTGAGACAGCAGCTAGGATTCTGCAGTGTCGGCTTCCCCAGCCTGGCTATAAGAGCCAGCCACAACCACCCAGGCAAAATCCAGAGGGATGCCCTGCTGTGACAGCCTGTGGACTGGGGCTGGGAGGATCAGATTTCCCCACCTCAGTGAATTACAGGCGTGTGATGGCGCATTAAAAAGACCCAGCCACAACCACCCAGGCAAAATCCAGAGGGATGCCCTGCTGTGACAGCCTGTGGACTGGGGCTGGGAGGATCAGATTTCCCCACCTCAGTGAATTACAGGCGTGTGATGGCGCATTAGAGGCACGGGGGAGTGTGACAGGCTTGCACTGCTGTGAGGGGCCAGCGTGGTGGGAGTGCTGGGGGACGGGGTGGGATGGGTGTCAGGCCAACCTCCACAAAACCCTGCCTGCTGCTGCACAGACAGCAGCACCTGGAACAGCTTCAGCAAGGTGATGGCAGAGTGCAAGGGCTGCCCATCCCTGGCTGTGCCCCGTGCAGCTCTCGAGGAACGATGCAGCTTCTTTTACACCGGCAGTCCCAGGAGGAACTCAGCACCATCCACCAGCTGATCCCCTCGGCACATTTCCAACGGGGCTGGTGACCCTTCCCTTTGCAGGAGAGCCAGGCCCCGTTCAGCAACCTGGAAAGGCTGCCTTGCCCCAGGCAGGGGCTTTGCCCAGGGGCACAGGGAGGTCTGGCCTGGCCTGCACCACGCCGTCCAAGCAGGCAAAGCACCATTTCTCCCTTTCCTCTCCAGAGCATGGCTGACAGCCGCTCTCCGGCTGGGCTAATAAACGAGCGCAGCGGGAACAAAAGCGGCCTGGCAGCCGCCCCACTACATGAGCGCGCGTTGGCCGGGCTGCAGCGGGTCCTGGCCAGGCCCAGCAGGGGGGCATGCAGGCAGCCACGCTCACGGCTGGATCTCCCTGGCTGGCATTTGGCCCTAGAGTCCCCTGCCCCAAGCTCTGCAGCTGGGATGGGATGGATTTAACTTGGCCTGGGCAATGCAGGGCAGCAGCAGCCCCTGAGGGAACACGCTCCCCGTCGCAGCGGTTGTGCAGCCCCACAGCCGGGTCCATGGAGAGGAGGGGGAAGCCAAGACCATCCCCTCCATCACTGAGGGCAACTGAGCAGGAGTGGCCAGTGCTGGCCCCTTGCCCGGAGGGCACAGGCAGCGAGCACAGGGCTCCTCTGGTTCATCCCAGGTAAATAACCAGTTTTCTCTGGAGGTGACACATTCTTTGCCATTAGGTGATCTGAGCATTTGTAACGTGCCTCTTGAACCAGTCAGTGTGAGCTTTCTCTTTTCTCCCAGGAGAAGCTGGTAATTAGGTTCTTATCCAATAAAAATGAGGGGTTTTGAAGCAGAGATAGGATTACTTCTAACTTGATGAAATATGCTTCGGCTTGAAATAATTACACGATTTGCACTTAGCAACTCTTAGCCCAGGGCATGCAAGTGATTTACAAGCAATTATAAAGCCTGCTGGGAAGATGCCGTTATCCCCACTTTACAGACAACACGGAAAGCAGAGGCTGAGGGCAGGGAGAGCTGGCAGGGCCTCCCGAGCTCCCTGCCTCAGCGGGAGGGCCCGGCAGCCGCAGGCAGAGATCTCAGGGCACCGAGAAGTTAAAAACCAGACCGGGGTGGCTGCCCGGGAGTGACCCCAGCACCGCTCCGCGCTGCAGGGAAGGGGGCGATGGGGAGGATGGCGACACCGAGAGGTGCCAGGGAGGTGTCTGGGGCAGGACGGAGCGGCCTGGAGCAGCGCAGGTGGGAGCTGCTGGGCCTCACAGGCGAGCGATGGGAAGAGGGCGAGGGAGGCTCCACCGGCGTGGCTGTTCCGTCCTTCGCCACCTCCCTGGCACCTCTCCCAGGGACAGGGCAGGGCCTCCACCGCACCTC